CCATATTTTTTCCTTTAATTATGCAAGTTCTTACTGGACATTTACAGGAGAATGTATCTTGGTGTATGTTTTTCGTTGATGGTATCCTTTTTGTGGATAAGACTAGAGAGAGAGTTCAAGAAAAAATTTGATTTATGGAGGTCAACTTTAGAATTTTAAGGTTTTCGTTTGAGTAGATCTAAAACAAAATACATATAATGTAATTTTAGCAGTGGTAGATCAAGTGGCAGAGTTGTAATAATTGGTGATCTGGTCATTAAAAGGAGTGAACATTTTAGATATCTCAAGCATATTGTTCAAAGTTATGGTGATATATATAGGGAGAATGATCAAGATTTTTGACGACCTCATTCACAATCAAGTAGAAGCATATTGTTCAAAGTTATGGTGATATATATAGGGATGTTATCAATAGAATTCAATTTGGATGGTTAAAGAGGAGGAATGCATCGGGCCTATTATGTGATAAAAAAGTACCACTTAGACTTAATGAAAAATTTTATAAGATGGTGGTGAGATCCACAATGCTTTATGGTGCAGAATGATGGCCTATAAAAGAGAAGCATAAAATTACGTTAAATATTTTTGAGATGAGAATGCTCAAGTGGATGAGTGGCTTTACACTTAAGAGATAAAATGTGAAACAAATATATCCGTGAAAAGGTTAGAGTAGCTCCAATGATAGACAAGATTATAGAGAGAGATCTTAGTTGTTTTGTTCACGTTAAACGCCAATCATCTGATGATTTTGTTAGGAGAGTAGATGTTTTAAATTTAACATCCTAAGTTAGAGTATTGCTAAGATATAACTGCTCAAGTGGATGAACAACTTTATACTTAAAGGCAAAATGTGAAAAAAATATATCTGTGAAAATGTTGGAGTAGCTCCAGTGACACACAAGATTAGAGAGAGTCACCTTAGATGGTTTGGCTATGTTAAACATCGACCATTTACTGAACTCTGTTAGGAGAGTAGTTGTTTTGAATTTAACTTTTGTTAAACGTAAAAAGACTTGGGCATGTTTTATAAAATAAAATTTAACTTTTGTTAAGAAAGGTAGAGGTAAACGTAAAAAGACTTGGGCATGTTTTATAAAATATTATCTTAATTTATTAGAACTAAATGAAAATATGAAACTGAATGAGACACGATGGAAAAAAAAAATTCTTGTATCCAACCCCACTTAGTGAGACAAAAGCTTATTCATTGTTGTTATCGTTGTTGTAGAGAGTTGTGTTCAAATTGCATCCTCTGCCTCTTCTAAGATTTTCTTCAAATCTAAGTGACAGATCCATATGCCCCTACTTGCAAATGACCTTTAAGAAATGCACTCTTAACATCAAATTGATTAAGTGGCAAGTTGGAACTAACTGCAAGAGAAAGAAGTATACTAATCAAATTAATTTTAGCAATAGGAGTAAGGGCTCTTGGTAATCTAAACAATGAGTTTGAGTTTGTTTTTTTTGCTACAAGTCTCTCTTTATCTCTCATCAAATCCATCAGCCATACACTTTATCGTAAATAGCTATTTGTATAGAACTAACTTCTTGTCTTTTTGGTAAATCATCAGCACGCCATGTGTTATTCGGGAAACGTCTATTTTTCCAACTTATTTCCAATTTGGATCTTGTAACGCTTTGTGAAAAGTTCTTGGAACGAACAAATTATAAATCCAAGAAACAAATGCTCTATGAGGTTTTAACAATTTTTCATAAGAAAGTAGCTTGCAACGGGATGTTTGGTACATGCTCAGGTATCATTCCTAAGTGTAATGGTAAATCAAGGTCAAAATAACGGGTATCAAAAGATATAATAGTTGTGGAAGGAATATATGAAGCCGGAGCTAAAGAGCTAGCAATTAATTTAGTAACTTCAGCACAGTCATGACTGTTGTTGATCAAGAGTTTAGTTAGATAGCTAGTTAGTTTCTTGAAATTCTGTTCTTTTAGTTTTTTGAAAACATTTAGGCGCTTTTGGAGTCTCAATAATGGTATAAAGAATTGTTTGAGCTTAAAAAGGAGATAGATTAGAAAAGAAATAAAGAGTTTCTTTGCTTTTTTTTCATTTGATGCATGCTCAATTCCGAAAAATGAATTGAGCAATTGTAGAAGATTTAGTCCTGAAACTAAGATTTGTGCCCACTTTCGGCTTCAAAATAACTATGAAAATATTTTCTTGACAATATATGAGCTCCGGTTGAGGATTGGGACCTATTGGCAATACTCCCATTGTTTTTTATGAACAATACCTGGAAAAGGCATATTGATAGTACTGCCACTAGTTTCTATATTTCAATTATTTCTTAAAATTGTTTATCTGAATTAAAACAATCGGTAAAGTTTCCTTAAAATTATCTCCTTCAACCATATTCTCCCAAGAGTTACACAAACAACTGGCAGGATTATTACAGCAATTAAATGTCCCAAATACAATATGAGAAGAGATTTCCATCGATTTCATCATAAGACTTCCAACTTCCAACGATAAAACTTACATTTTTGTTGTGGTACATCAATTATCAAAATGTACAATTTTCACCTCTACCCACAAGATTTACTGAAAAGTAGCTGAAGTTTTTGTTTCAAGTATTGTTTGTCTTCGATTCCAGAAATCAATCGTGATCGTGAACCTATTTTGCTTAGCTTCTTTTGGAAAGAGTTATTTTGCTTGAGCAGTACTCAACTAAATTTTAGCAACTCCTATCATCGTTAGACGGACAAAATGACAAAAGTGACAAATCCTACAATTGAATAATATATTCAATGCTTTGTCATGAAAAAAACTTCGCAATGGATAATCTTTTTGTCATGGCTTGAATTATTTTATAATACATCCCCACGCTCTTCATTCAAATCCAATTTGAAATAGTGTATGGAGGACCAGCACCCACAGCGTTTCCAATGTAGGCTGCATTCTTTAGTAAAAGAAATACAAAAAAACCTTACAAAACTGCAACAAAATTCTTCAACAGCTCTTCTCAATCTACATGGCACATGTAATCGTATGAAATAGCTCATTTATAAAAAAAGACGAAAAGTAATTTTCAAGTAGAGGGTCATGTCCTAATTTGCTTACAACATTATTGCCAAGGTTTCATTACTCGGCAACAATATTCCAAAATTACTAAATACTTTTTGGGCATTTTGTGTGCTTCAACGAATTGGCAGTTACTTATAAACTAGATATATCACCAACCACACACAGTCATCCAATTTTTCATGTTTTATTTTTAAATTCATTATAAAAATAATTTATGTCATCTTGATTCTTTGCCTACAATTAATGTTTGAGATCGTCCAACCACTAGCAATCCTGCAACAATTCTACATATTACAAAAATAACAAAACCACTCCTACAATCATTGGTTCAGTGTGAAGGACTTTAACCAGAAGACGGCTCTTGGGTTTTGCACTCAAATTTTATAAATTCCTACACAAATTAAGACCTTGAGAACAAGGTCAATTTTAAAGGATGGAGAATTGATGAGCCCGCAGGAAAAATTAGCTACATTTATTCCGCGAAAATCTACTGAAACATATCAGCAACCAGGATGGCTGAAGGGCTTTATTTAAGTTCACATTTCATGTTAGTTGTAATTTTACCTTATACTTAATAATCTAGGGTTAGTATTACATTTAGTTTTTTTCGAGTTTATATAGCTGTTGGGCCTATAAAAACGCCAATTGAGCTGTATGGAAGTTCAAGAAGTTACCCCCATTCCGATTCTTCCTTCACGTTTCTCTTCTCTCACTTCCCCTTTTCTTTTCACGTTTAACCGTTCATTTTCTCCTGTTTCTACAGCGTATCACAATTCATAAAGAAGTAACTGCCAACAGATCCATGGATAATTGTCAACTGTGATAATGGTTCTAATGAGAAAAAAAAAAACGGAAATAAGGGGAGAGATAAAAGATTACTCGAGATTCTCTAAGAGCTTTCTTTCCTTAAAGATTCCTCATTCAACTGCTGCTCGGTCGCCGTCACCTTTAGCATACTATTCGAAAAGAAACTCTTCCACGCAGAGAAAGATAGCCATCCCACCGCCGCCGGCCACATGCGGCGTACTCTCAGCTCGATTACTGCACAGGCGAGCAGTTTCGCCATACGACTGAGAGCTCCAGCGCTAGGGCTGGCGATCCAAGTTAGGGTTATAGTCCTAAATAACGCTAGTGGAGTACTTAATCGTGGTATTTGCATTTACCGCGCATCAATATTTAAATTTAGGGAGATTTAAATACATATTAGTATTTTTAATGTGAAACGGAAATTTTGTGCGATACAAATACAAAAATTAAATTTTAAATGGTAGTTATATAAAAAGTTCGAATTGGTTGGTATTTATGTAAAGGCTTCTTAAATTTAAATATTTCTTTATGTGGAATTTAATTTTTTTAAATTTCATAGAATATCACTACTAATTAATTTTTTAAAATAAAATGTATTTTTTTCATACAGAAATTTTATATGTTTCTGCCTCTCTAAAATGGTAAATATATAATATTAAATTTTAACACATTATGGTGAGGCAATTACATACAGATCATCTTAAATTTGTTACTGACAAATCAACTACTACTATATTTGATCCTTTTTTTTTATTATTTCTTACTCAAATAATCAAAATTTATGGTAAAATCTCAATCTATATCTTTTATTTATTTTCAAATTCTCAATAATTTGATCATGACACGCATAAATATATCAATTAAATAATTCAAATTAGATCATGACACGCATAAATAAAAAAAGATCATGACACACATCTGTTATTAATTTATAAATATCAATATTTTGAATGGTTTGTATGCAGTTATCCCATAAAAAATTTAGATCAATGGCCATGTTGTCAATAAGTGCCCCAAAATTTAAATAATATGAAAATAACTTAAGAGTTAATTAGCGCAAATCTCGAAAAAGAAAGCACTGAACCGATTCTAAAATTGATTTGTGAAAAACACTTCAACGGCATCTAATTCCTTACTTTCCTTCAAACATAAATCGAACCAGAAGAGTGCAGTTTACTCGCCCAAAATCTTCCTTTTCTCCACAAAATCACTTCAAAATTCAATCTTTCGTCCCATTCCTCACTCCCCAGCCATGGCCGCCGCTCCTACAAGCTTCCTCTCCCTCGACTCCTCCTACCTCCGCCCTATTCTCATCTCCACACCATTCTCTCCCTCCTCTTCCGTCTCAATTCACCGTTCCCACTCCCCTTCCTTCTCCCTCTCCTCCGTCCGCTCAACCGCCGGCGCTATCGCCGCTTCCGCTTCCGGCGGCGGCGTCTTCCTCGACGACCTAGGTCTCTACCGCCTCCAAACACTCGACAAGTACATAAGAGAAGGAAGGCACGGCGACGGATGGCTCGAGATCCGCCCCATGGAGGAGGGGGAGGTCGATCCCGCCGTCCAGCTTCTAGCAGAATCCTTCGTAGAGTCCATGGGCATGGCGGCGCGGTATGTCCCGCTTCTCGCTTTTCTGGTGCGCCAGTATGTATTAGGCCGCCGGGTTCTGCTGCCCCACGCCGTGATGCTCTTAGGGTTCTATAGGGAAGGGGAGAAGGAGGCAGAGCTCGCCGGCACGGCGGAGGTTTCTTTTGATACCATTGGGGCTAATGCAGCGCCGCCGACGCCCCTGCCGCCGAGGGACTGCCCTTACATCTGTAACATGGCAGTCAAGAAGGAGTTCCGGAGGTACATCTATACTCTTCTTTGCGTCTTCATTCTTATTGATTTTAAGTCTCTTGGTTCTTCATTTTATGATTTTCTTGCTCTGGTGATTTTAACACATTAATTTTGCATTTTCATATGTAATATGTAAGTGAATTAGGAGCTTCTTGCATGATTCCAAGTCTTAATCCTCAAGACAGTAATTTTAATTCTTAAGTCAACAATGATCTTAACATGTTGACTTAAGACTTATAATTACTATCTTGAGGATTAAGAATTGGAATCACAAATACATAGGACTTAAGTGGAATGTATTGAGCCTAAACATGCATGTTTCATAGCACCTTGCAGTTTTGTTTGTTTTATTTCATGTTTTATTATACTTCTAGGCAAGCTGCAAAAGAATATAGATAAAGTAACCCATGTTGTAACCAATTAGGCGAGGAATTGGCTTTCAGCTACTAAAGGCATGCGAGGAGCTCATATGTAAAATGAAGACAAAACATAGAGTATACCTTCATTGCAGAGTGACAGATACAGGACCTCTGAGAATGTACAAGAAAGCCGAATACAAGATCGTCAAAACCGACAGCAGATTAGTTTGGTTGACGCTTCAGCGACGAAAGCATTTGCTGGCGAAAGAACTACATGTTGAGCAGGATGCAGCTTTTACTGTTGTTGTTGAGAATCATGTTATCCAGTAAGTCTTGTAATTTGGCTACTACCAGAAGGTGCACTTGTAATTTATCTGAATTTGTTGTGATGTATGATAGTGTGCACTAACTGAAGTTCTTATACCAAACCTCTTCATTGTAAATTGAAAAAGGGTGAGGATCAACATATCAAATTTTTAAATTTTTTTGATAAATTTTATAATCATCAAATTTATTTTAAAAATAAATAATTTTTATAGTATTCTCATCACAATCATTATAATCAATTTTAAATCAAAATATTCTTATTTAAATTTATCTTTTTTCTAAAGAACACCAACCATCTTTACAAAAGGAAAACTGCAAAAGACTAATCTCTGATCAACTTCCACTAATAATAAGCATAAATTCATGATAAATTAATAGCACAACAAGTATCATCTCCATATTTCTGAGCCACCCAGATTCACAATTGGTGAGAGTCCAAAAACAAAGAACTTCCAGTTCAAATGGAGCAAAGTTAATTAATTTTGGACATATGAACATCTAAAAATGTCGAGTAAAGTGCCAAGATAGACCCTGACTATCTGTACGGGACTGTTTTAGTCCCTGGGTTTATAAAAATGCAAAAATAATCCCTGACTATTTTAAAATTGAGCTCTTATATTCCATCATGGAAATTATTTCATCTCAGATATAAACTTTGGGACCAAAGGCCACATACAAATAGTTGGGGACTATTTTTGCACTTTACTAGGAAATGTTTAAAATATGAAAAAAGTGAAAAATCAATAATACTGAAGCTGAATCATTTTGTCCCATCAGAGATTGTGCGGCCACCTTCCACTAAAGCTGTCGTCTTACAAATAGGGCACAAGTTCTTGATAATTAGCCATTGTTTGATGCAATCAGTGTGAAAATCATGCCTGCAGTTCAGTGTGCCAATTGCCTCTCCTTCCTTGTAATCTTCCTGAATGTCGAGTTTCAGAAGAAGGTTAGATTGACACCAGATCACAATGGAGGAAAACTAAAAATTATTTCAGGCTGATCAGAACGATTGATACTCCATTTTATGATATTTTTTTTTTCTGAGAGAATTTAAGAACAGCAAAATCAGTATTGAAAAGAAGCTCACCCGACAGATACAGCAGGGCTCCTGCTCCGAAGCTGCTGCCTCCAACTCGCAAGGCGAGTATTTCCGTTTCTTCAAGAACTTCAAAATTGTCTGCTCACAAAGTCCAGTATTGACATAACCAATCCTCTCTTCGAGCGCCAATAGCTCCTGGAATACATCAAAGTTAAATTGCATGTTTGAGAAACATATTAGCAAATGCATGAAAAACTCACCTCATAGGACATGTCGTCAACATCAAGCCGCATGTCTCTGTGCCTGTCATTCAAGTCAGCGAGCCCGTTGAACCCGGACTGATTGAAAATGAAGACGTCCTGATCGATGCAGGACTTGTTAAGATATAGGGTTCTGATACAGATTTCATAACAGAATATGTAAAGAAATCTTCTCATGGCTTTTTTGTATACTGATCAGGGATAAATTGTGCTTTAAGTAATCATGAAATAGGCTGGGTGATAAATTCTTCATCATAAATAAAGATGCTTGTAAGAGAAAATTAACAATGTAGTACAATAGATAGACAAATGCATCTTTAAACATCAAATAATCGAAGTTAATAATGAGTTTTCTCATTCATCTTCACATCGTGGTGGCTCGTAAAGGTGATTGATACAACATGTAACAAAAAAGATGCAATTTCATAACATATATTCATGCATGAGAAGTGATATGAAAAAAGAACAGTATTATAAATTTCCAAGCTGTAGATGAATAATGTTACACTGCAAGCGCAAATCGTATTTTACATTCTTACAATATTTTGGGACAGGATAATGTGACTCGACAATAGTAGCAAATAAATAGTAGCCGTCCCTTCGAAATATATTAGGGATCAAATTCAGATCAAGTATAAACCCAATTATTTTATAGCTTAAATGATGATGAATCCAATCAAGATATCATAGTTTCATCATCCTCAATCGTTATGGTTTCTGATCTACTTAGTCAAAGAAGATAGTCAACCCAACCTGATTAAATGACACTTGTCAATAATCATATATTGTGTCGTCCAAGGGAGTCTTGTAGACTCGGGGTGTGGATGATTGTCTAATGGGATAAATTTAATTCGATTTTAGTAAACAAATGGTTTTATATTAATCAATTATACCTTTATGATTCACAACTGAAAGAGTAAATAGTCATTGGAAAACATATGGGTTGCGATCATGAACGTAATATAACAATGTCATTTGGCAGTCAATTAGAGGGCTTTGGTTGTAACTGCTCCTTTCTGTAGAGCATTTGGGTCAAATCACGTGAACAGAGGACACGAACCACGTCCTTACAGGTGTGAGATTATTTTTAGTGTGAATATAATGATACACTCGATAAGACATTCGCTCTTTGTGAATTGTTCAATCAAAAGTTTCTCACCCTCGATAAAAAATTGCAGAGGGTAGATGAATTTTGCTTCAAGTTTTTTAAGTGATCAATTTTATTTTAAATGTTTTGGTTGATTACTTTAAAATTTTTAATTTAAAAATTTGACCCATCCAGTTGAAGTCTTCAGTCAACACGACCATCATCGAGAAATTTGAGTAGTGAAAACATTTATGTTTGAAATTCATTTTAAAATTGACACATGAATAACTATAAAATGTTAGTCATGTCAGCATCAATTCTTTTGAGGAGGATGATCATACTAGGTGATTTAGACTTAACAATTTCTTATATATGTGATTTGAACATTATTGAAACATACTAAGCTTATCAACTCTGGTCCTCAGGAGGAGGAGAACGGATTAGTTGAGTAGGACTTATAATTTTACCCTAAAGATAAGGAGAGCCGATTAAAAGCCTACATGATTGGATTATCTTGAATTTAATTTTAAAAAAAAAACATGAGGAATTTTAACTTTAAAATAATCATAGATTTTCTTAAAAAATTTTGCATGCTTATAAGAGAAATAATTCTATGATGACACATTTAACCTTAACCTACACAACATTATCGAACCATTCAACTTTAAACGATTATTCAATTTGGTGAAGTGCATGCAAGTTTATAATTTTGAAGTTGTGCACATATTTCATCATACCAAAACTATATATTTTGCATGAATATTGACACACACAAGACGATCTCCAATTCTTTCGAGGCAACGCATTGAAGTTTTTAGAAATTATCTTTAAGTGTAAGTGCGAGATTTATAATCACACAAATTTATGTTAATCACATAAATGTTCCTCATTTATATGCAAGCATATAACAGTCACATATCACACAAATGTCATTATATTAAAACCATTTAGTGCAATTTTTTACTTCAATGAGAGAAAAATCTCGTGCGAACAGTTTTAGATGAGAAACAAGCAGAAGCGAGTATCGAAAATCTAGTTCGGCGTAGAATTTCTACTTAATATTAATTAAGTTTAATTAAACTTAATCAAAAATATTAATAATCTTTAATAACTTTATTAACACCAAGATTATTGTGTTTTCCGTGTTGGTGAAGAAAATTATTTTTTTTTTGTTCTGATTTTTACAGAAGTTCCAATCAAATTCGTATCAGTACATTTGAAATTTACGGGAAGCCAACGACGGGAACATGGCGTACAGAAGTTCCATTCGTGACCAAGCCTCGTGATACAAACACAATTCGAGCTAGTTGGGAAGCCAACATCACAATTGCGATGTGCCCTAGTTGCAATTTCTCTAGGAAGCCAACAACAGGATCCTTCATGACCGAACTTCGTGATATAGCCGTGATTTTCTGGGAAGCCAATAACGAGATTGCTCCCGACCGAACCTCACGATATAGTCAAGATTCGAGCTAGCTGGGAAGCCAACATCAAAAGATGAGCAGAGAGATGTTGGAGGTCGGAATCATATAGCTTTGTGTGAACCCCTTCTCTAGCCCGGTCTTGCTAGTGAAGAAGAAGGGTGGGAGTTTTTGTTTCTATGTGGATTACCTAGAAATGAACAAAGAAATGATACATTACAATTTTATCATCTCGATGGTTGATGAGCTACTAGATAAATTGTTTGTGATTGCAGTATTCTCCAAGGTTTGCTTGAAGTCAGGATACCAATAGATTATGCTGCAGCCGACGAATGTGCACAAAACTGTATTTTGAACTCATAAGAGTCACTAAGAATTTCTTGTTAAATGAAAAGGATCGTCAAATTGTGACGCCACGTGAAAGCCATACGACTTAATCCAACACCAATTTTGTCTCTTCCTCGATGAAAAGAAATCTTTTTTTTGGAAGGGGAGTAATGTTTGAGTGATGCTTACGACATCGTCCACCTCATGCTCCACTAAGTCGCGTCGAGCCAGTCAAAACAATTTAAGGACTTATATTAGGCGTAAAACTAAAAGGGACAATTTGCTCATTTGTTAATTATTATTGTAAGGTATAAAAAGGGCTAAAATGTTTATGGTTAAGATATGTGTGATTGTTGTCTTGTATCTTAGGGTTAAGGTTTGGGATAAATAGTAGGTGTTTATCTTTTATGTATATGAGTTGTGTTATTTTGTGTCGATGAACAAAAATATTTTGTTCTGACCTAATTTCACCTAATTTCCGCAGAAGTTCCTATCAACATACTAGCTAATCAATTTGCATGTTGGCCAAAATTTTTCATCACGATTAATATTTTTTAAAATATTTTAAAAAAACCTTTAAAATTAAAATATTATATTTTAAGCTCAATAAGCTAGGTTTGTTTGTAGCACTTGAATCAATGATTAATGGTGATGAAAGACATAAAGGTTGAAATGAGCGATTTCACAAAATTGGGTCCAATTCGATGGTTCACAAATTGAATTGTCATTTCTAGCGAATTCATGCGATGCTTTCAGGCTGATCGGACAGGCCATATGACCAATTCATGGTCAAAGTACTCGAACCAGCAGGTAGTAACAATTGAACAAACAATACTCAAAAGTTAATACATGATAATAATGATTAAGAAAGACATTTCAGGGTTCTGACTTTTTGTCAATGATAATTACCTCAAAATGCAGATTCGTCCGAATAAGATCCAAAGCATTGCGGATCTGCAACATGGATACACCATAAGAAATAAATGAACAATCAATTAATAGAAAATATAACCTGGGTAACCTTTTATTGATGTTTCCAACAGAAGTGAAAAAAAAAAATGGGGCAATGATTTAGAGGTTAGATTCTCATAGAAAAGTGATGCTCAACAATAAATATTATTTGCATTCAGTGAAATTAAGAAATCTATATCCATCCACATAGAACATAGTCGTCACAACAAAACATCAAATTCAATATTTAAATTTTGAATTTCACAAGATAGTTGTAACAACAAAACATCAAATTTAATATTGAATTTTTGAATTTCACAAGATAGATCAGGTTGGGAACACCAAAATCCAGATTTAAAAAATAAATTTAATTTCCTCATCAATATTAAGAAATCTACTGTTTTATGCCAATCCTACAATAAACTTCGAAATTAAACAAAACATCTAAAAGTATTTTAAGCACACCTCAGATAGCATCCTAGTTCTCCCATCTCGGCTCCTATCATGCAATGGTAATGCCGAAAAACCACGCTGCCTCTCTGTTAAAACTGCAGTCCTTGGATGTAATGGGGAATCACCTTGGCGAACAGCTCCAGAAGACTGACCAAGCTCCTGGGCAGAAGCAGAACTAGAATGCTGCAAATATAAACTACTATTTTGATGTCCAGATTCAGATCCAATAGAAGGAAACAAAGAGCTACGTACAACCTCACTTAAATTTCTGGGGTACTGAACAAGAACTGTTTCACTCAGTTCACTGATAGACGCTGGTGATGGAATGATACCTGAACTCATGCTAACTCCATTCCCTGACATACTCAAGTTAGAATTAGATGGATTACAGTTTCGTGGATCCTGTAATAGTTGATTGATGTCATTTCTAGGCAAGCTGCTCACGTTTGCTTCCTCTTGAGAACCAAATAGTCTCATTCTCCGTTGTATAAAGGCTGGGACCAATGAGCTGCCAATGCTTGATGAGCTACCAATGCCTGAATTGGCAGGAGAATGGTGAACATGATGAGGCAAACCAGGAACAGAGAGCATGTAAGGCTGGCTCTGCTCTGCCAAGTGAAAAATAGGATTTTGCGAAGAAGATGGTTCACCAGGCGACAAAGAACTAAATAGATTGTTACCACTCGTAGCAGAAAGCGACCGAGAAGAGGAGACATCATTCTGGCAGTCAAGATTAATTTTTTCTGGTAAATTTCTTTGTGAACTAGAAGAAGGGTAGCATTCAAAAGAAACTCCTAAATGCATAGAGCTGAAACTTGGACTCTGATTTCCTCCTGAAAAGCTTCCAATACGCAGATGCCTTGATGAGCTTGGAATGCTCAAGTCTCCAGCATTATTATGATTAGATGAAGATTCTCCAATAAGTTCTTCCATGTTCTTCCTCTTCAAAGGTATGCGGCGAACATCGACTGACTTTCTCGCTCTATCGTGACGTTCTGAGCCTTTTACAACACAGCTAGATGAATTCACTATAGAATTTGGATAAAGAACACACTCGGGTTCAAACAAATCCGGCACAGAAGCACACAATGATGTCTCCACATCGTCGCCATGAAAGCCAGCCGGCACGTTGTAGTGCTCTGGACTCATATGAATTGGATTTTGGGTGAGCAACTGCCCGTCATCAACTGGACTATTATTAAGGTTCAAGTCCAAATTTTCCAGTATGTTAGTTCTATCACAATACATTTCTTCCATCCTTGGGCTGCTACCAGAATTTATTGAAAGAGAAACATTTCTTCCATGAACCCTTTCAGTCTCATCGTGATTTTTCTGAATCGCAACAAATGGGTTAGTATTATGGTCCCCTGAATTCCAGATACCCAAAACGTCAGCTTCTTGAGGGGTCATAGCCATAAAATCTGTGTTTGCTTCATTTGGAGATAATACATAATCTGCAAAAGTAGAGGTCTCCACAGAATTTAGACACAAATTACTTTAGTGAAATGGTCGATCCATGTCAAAGCTATTTCAATTAGATTCACGGCTTTATTGAAAGGGTCAGATATTGGCTCGAAAGAATTACTATTCCATTGCTTCTAATTAATGTCTATGGATCTGTCCTGCAAATTAAGAAAGACTTGATGGAAATGGGCTTTTATAGAAAGTTTGACCTTAAAATTAAAAAAATACCGCATAATGGAAGAAAAGCTCACTAGAAAAACTAGGGAAATTTGTATAATTAAAAGCTAGCTTCATCTTAAAGGCTAAACCTAGAACAAAGAAAATGGGTACACTTCTCTTATTCAATAAAGCCATTTCTTAAATGTCATAATATTTCATGAAATAATTATGCATGTTAAAATATATACAAGCTTGATAAAAAAAATTTTAATATCCTAAATCCTTAATTAAATAACAAGCAATCCTAAGAATTTTTAGCTGAAATTAAAAAAATAAACATTTCATTGTCATCAACATGAGGAGTGATTGGTCCTATTATCATCTGAACAAAATTCTACTAACCATCAACATGGTTCAAGCAGGTGAAGATAATAATCAGATCTTATGACCACTGATGAAGCAAATAACAATAACTTACTCATTAAGGACACAAACATGATGAAACTATTTAATACTTGACACATGTTTCCTTGTACTGTTCCCTTTCTATATGCTTGACATATAAATCTGCTTTCTCTAGTATATGCTTGACATATGTTTCCCACAAATTCTTTAATGAAATCATTTAATACTCCCGACTACTTAGCCGTTCCCCACATGCATCTTACCTTCAATAAACTTATTTGGGTCTACTCTACCTCTATATCGGGACATAAGAAGCTTGGCAGGTGGTATTGCATTCTTATTAAAGTTAGCTTGTATTGTTCCCTCTCTATTCCTATCATCAAAATATAAAATTCATAATTTTAGGTCATGATCATTATCATATTAATGCACTAAAATGTTTTATACTTGTACTTAATTTTGAATATTTTAAGCACCTCTCCTAACCGTCCTACTAAATTTATTTTAGTCTATGTATGAATAAATACAATACCTATGTGTTCTAGAGCTCAAAGAGAAGCTGCAAAATACCCTAAGCTTCCAAGAAGTCTGAATAAGTTGTCTTGAACATCGCCTATTAACTCCCATTGGTCCTATTGTGTAATCCTCGTTATAACTTATCAAGAACACAACCGCCCTAAACTCTAAACAAGAAGAACAAATCTTAGAAATCATTTTTTTTCAGAGAATCAAACCAAACAGTTCAGATGGTGGTGAAACCTGCAATGTTTTATGGCATAGCACAGTATGTTAGACTACAAAAACAAAGCATAAAACTAAGTTAAGTGTTGTTGAGATGAGAATGCTTAGGTGGATGAGTGGCTTGAGAGACAAAATGTGAAACAAATGTATCCATGAAAGGGTTGGTCTTGCTCCAGTGGCAGACAAGATGAGAGAGAATCATCTTAGATGGTTTGGTTGCATTAAACGTCAACCATTTGATGATTTGGTGTTGATGATCTGGTGAGAACAGTAGATGTTTTAGATTTGGTTTTTGTTAAAAAAGGTAGAGGCAGACCAAAAAAGATTTAGGCATGTTGTGTAAAAAATGATCTAAGTTTATTAGAATTAAATGAAAATATGACACTCATTAGGACACAGTGGAGACAAAGAATTCATGTAGCCCACCCCAATTAGTGGGAAAAATGCTTGTTGTTGTTGTTGTTGTTTGTAATCAAAACAAACTCGGCCAGGCCAGAGCTTTGAACTTGATCAAGCAAAAAAGAAGTTTCAACCAAAAATTATGCTACTTAGCTAACAAGATAAGCATGGCCACTGAAGTCTGCAAGCTTAAAAAAACACAGATTTCTCCAAGAACGTCAAAAAATAATCCTAAAAGATGATTTCAAAAGCCATATTTTACTAAATAAATAAATAAATACATTTGAATGACTTATGAAGACAGAAATAAAATTGAAAAGCAGAAGAAGTAAGATTAGCTTTGCACATGATTGATTTTTTAAAAAAACTCATGAGACAACAACATCATCAAGATAAAAAAGACCTCATCCAGTGACCTGATTGAATACTCACAAGTTTCAAATTGCGCTAGAAAAGGAGCCGATTTGAGGAGATCGCACAAATCAAACTACAGATCCACAAATCAGATGGATCCAAAGAAAGACATCTTAGAAGAGTGAGTTTATACCACCGAAGGAGAACTGAAGAGGACAGAAGAGGGCTGTAACAGTAGCGGCTTTTCTTTTTCTTTTTTTTTTTTTCTAATTTGTTACCATAAATGTTTAATGTATTTATATATAATTTTCTATTTAAATGTATAAATTTTTATACATAAAAATATAAGATTTTATTTAAATAAATTTATATTAATAATATTTTTTTTATGGGAGTTACAGATTTGACTGTTAAATTTATAAAAAAAATGTTCGTGAATAATTTTTTTTATTATTCAACAAATAATTTATTAAATAATTGCTACACAATAAATTCAATAATCATTTATATTATATGAGATATATTAATTAAATAAATTTTAATTAACTTTGTAATATTTAATTATGTATTATAATTTTATATCAACAAATTTTATAATTTATTGAAGTTTTTTATTTCTTTATTTAAATGAAATAATTTATTAGAATTTAGTTATATAATTTTATTACAAGAAAATATTCTTGTAATTAATTGTTTTTTTATTTCATAAGTGTAAACTATATAATTTTGAATCCATACACAAATATTTTGTAATTATCTTTTAAACGAAATAGCAAAAATTTTAAGTTTTTAAATTTAATTCATATTACTCTCATAATATTTGCAGTTCGACCTGAGATCAGATCATAAATGAGAAGTTCAGCTAAAATCTAAAGCAAAGAACAAATTGAACAGAATTTATTAAGGCCCCCCCCATTAAGGATCATTTTTTCTGTTTTCTTTTTTTTATTTTCTTATTTATATTTAAATTTGAATTAAAATATGTTTGATGAGAGTAAATATTATTTAAAACATTCAAAGTATCTTTTGAGTATTTTTAAAAACATGGTAATGTATTTTTAAAAATAAAAATAAATATGAATTAAAATAACCAAACATGTTTTCAAAGATAAAAATACAAAGAAAAATAAATATAATACCAAATGGGGCCTAAACTTTTATGTTTGATTTACATTAGGAAAACTGAAAAACAAGCAATCCTAGTAGGGAAAAGGAGTCCCCTCAAGTCGGAAAAGGGGAACAGATAGTTCACCATGGTCATCATGACTTCCTCAACGCCGCAACCCGGGCAGCCAGGTCATCATAATCTGGCAACCTTGGATGCGCCCGATCACCATTTGGGCTCAATAGATCAGGTTGCATTGACCCTGATCGCACATGCCTTCCAACATGAGTCTCTGTTGGGGGCAGGGAAGCAGTTCTAGCTGGAGTGTGCCCTGAGAGCTTGAAGTATTGCTCATCCTTCATAATTTTCTCTGCAACTCTTGAATAATCAGAGATGGATTGTTTTTGAGGTTCGCTTGTACCTGTTCTAACTTTCCCTGACTCGCCCTTCTTACTGTAATGCTGCAAGGGCTTGTCCCCTTTCTCTTCCTCGTCGCATCTCCCATCATAGGAAGTATTCGTGCTCCTCCTTCCATGTATTGTTTGCTCAATGTATGTTCGATGGTTGCGATGGGAATGGTAGACTGCGCCGTCTATAACATCATCAAGATCTGCTTCACCAGTAGAGCGTACATGAGCAGTTCCCTGTTGCAGGTGCTTCCTCCAGACAGAAAAAGCTGTATTCTTATGATAATCTCCATTGTCGCTTCTGTTATACATTTCATAGGTTGTAGGCTTCAAATAATCATTTTCCAATGGATTTTTTACCTTGGGTTTGACATGGCAGTTCCCTGTTGCAGGTGCTTCCTCCTGACAGAAAAATCTGTATTCTTATGATAATCTCCACTGTCGCTTCTGTTATACATTTCATAGCTTGTATGCTTCAAATAATCATTTTCCAATGGATTTTTTACCTTGGGTTTGACATAAGGAGGTTTAAGATTGGATGCTCTTTTGCTTTCAGGATTCAATGCTGCATCAGGCTGCCTCTGTTGACCATTATGTTTCATCTCCTTGACAATCTCCTCTGCTGTAGAATGGAATAAACCATCATGATAAGAATTGGTTCCGTTAAAATCCTCTGTAAATTTAGTGTCTGCAAGAAACGTATTTATAGCTTTATCATGATAAGAATTGGTACCACGCCTCTCAATACCAACCAAGTCAAGCCCCTCGTGAACTTCTGATCTCTTGTGAGGGTTTCCATTCTGATTACCTATGGTTTTAACATAAGGAGGAGGCCTCTTACTAAAATGATGTGGCGCAACGTTCTTGAACTCATCAGCAGCTAAATTTTTAATATTTTCAGTAGAATCATGCGGATGAGAATTAGCATATTTGGGAATGGTAGGAATATTTCTATGCTCAGTTTGTACTTGATGCTTCTGCACAGCATTTCTGGAATGGTGCTCATCTCCTCTCATTTGTATAGTCTTTTGTTCATGGTTGTTGTTCACCGGCTCGAGCCTCTCAAATTCTATTTGCTGCTTCTGCACGTCACTAGCTGGATAAGAGGTGCCTTCTGCTTTTTCGAGTACTGGATTTCTTCCATTGAATACTTCATTCCTCCTATCTGTCAAATCTCTTCCCCCATCTGTTTTTTCAAGTACTGTCTTTCTTCCATTGACTCCCTCAGTCTTGCTATCTGTTACTTTTCCCTTTTCATCTGTTATATGGGACTCTATATAATTTTTTTTGCTGAAAGGAAAATGTATCGTTGGAAGATCCTGAAAAGTCATGAAGGAAATAAAATAGGAACTGACTGACAAATAGATGAGCAGAAAATGAAATTGAGTGCCACAGAATTGACAGGAGCATCATTAACATGCAAACTAGTTCTTTCCAATTAATCTAGCTCTTATTGTGTGATCAGTGTACATTAAAGAGCTGTCTGGTAATGAATTTTAAGTGGGATTTTCATCTCAATTTCTCTCAGTTTTGTCTTAAATCCCAGATTTACCGGATTTACAGGATTTATTAAGGCAGTATTTGGCTGCAACTAGGATTAGCATTAACTAGGTTTTATCAAATCCGATAATCCTTCCACGGAGCTTTCACAGAGATGAAGGTCATCGATGGTGAAATAAATCCTTTAAATCCGACTCCTATTCGGATTTATTAAATCCTGATTACGGGAAGAACGAGGGAAAAAAGTGATGAAAATATAAAATAAATAAATAAATTTAACGGAGCTTTGAATTTAAGTTTGGTTTTTTTTTATGTCTGGCCAAATTTAAGTTAAATCCATGTGTAAATGTTGTGAAACATATACCAGTTGATGTGGTATATATATATAAATCAAACTGGAGAACGATCGACGAAACGAAAAATAGAATGAGAAAAACTCACACTAGAAAAAAACACACAGATTTACGTGGTTCGGCAAATTGTCTACGTCAACGGAGTTGCGGAGGATTTTACTATTTGAGGAATTTACACCAGTCGATCATCTCGACTTACAAGAGGAATCTCTCACTTCGTTGTTCTCTCTTCTTCTCTCTCTGTTCTTTTCTCTCTATACTGAGATACACCGAATAAGATAAATTTACAAGAGGAATAAAATCAATTTATCTTCTGCAACAAGCCACCAAGAAGAAGCCAAGGAAGAACAATCTTCTTCTTCTTCTTTCTTCTTCATTCACCGTAAGGAACTACTGCTTGCACTTTCCTTCCTTCTATCCTGAGGAAGCCCTAAGAAGAACATCAACCGTGACTTAGAAACTCTCTTCTCTTCTATTCACAACTTAAAGGAGACGGGAGGCGGCGTCGTTTCGCGAAACAGGGAAGGCGGGAACGGTTCGCGGGAGTTGGGACGCGACTCTTGTGATCGAAAGAGAGAGAGCGGTCGCGAAGAATCGTGATCAGCAACAGGGACGCGGAAGCGAGAAGCGATCGAGCGAGAGCGGGATTGGGTTTCTTCTACCGAACCGGGCTCCAGCATAACCAATCTCCCAGTTGGAGACCGGTACACCTGCTACAACGTCTTCTTCCTCGAACTGATATCATTCATTGGCGATGTCACCATTTTCTTCAAACATGAATCCTCCACCTCTGCAACTCAAAGCATCTGTTTTCACTCCAGAAGATCAACTAAAGCTGTGCACAACTTCAGTTTCTCAAGAGTAACAACCTTGCATCTCCAAGCTATTTCCTGACAGCAGGGTTCACATAGCATTGACCTCCAAGCTATTTTCTAGATTACTCTTGTTTCTGCTTACAACTCTCACTGTATGTGCAATATTCTGTCTCTGCTGAAAATCGTTTTCAATAAGTATAGTCATGTACCTCTTCCTGTCATCATGTTCAGTCTTCATCTGGTACACCCACTTATTATGTAATGTCTTCTTCTCTAGTGAAAATTATGTCATCTCTCACTTGCTCGAACTTCCATCTTGCAAGATTTCTTCATAGCCTTGTGGTTCTCCACCATCTGTTTGTGGAACAATAGGAATGGGTGCTCCAGAACCACTCTCCTCTTCACTTTCACCATCAACAGAATTATGAATTGTCAGCAATAGTGCATCATGTACTTCTCAGATACCACATTTGCACTATCTTTCTTCATCTTCTTAGGATTCTTATAGTTTTTCTTTATGTGGCCAGCCTTGCCACAATTCCAGTAGATTGTCTGCTAACCAGACTTTGATTTTGATCTCCTTTTATTTGAGTTATTGTCATGTCATCTCCCTCTGAAATCAACATTCAGTGTCGAACTCTTACCTGAGATCTCGCCATAATCTTTCTTACGAACCTCCTCAGCCAAAATCAAATCACGAATATCATCGCATTTCAGTTTAGATTTACCTGCAAAACAACTAACTTTCATCCTCATGGCTTCCCAACTAAATTTCTTTTCTGCCACAAGCCACCACGAAGAAGATTAGGGAGAACTATATTCTACTTGATTAATTTGTGATAGTAACGAAATCATTCAGGTGTTGAGCAGCAGAAACACCTTCCGTCATCTTCAAATTGAATAACTTCTTCATCAAGTATACATTGTTATTCGCCGATGGTTTTTCATACATACTTCATAAGGCTGTCATGAGATCTGCAGTCGTCCTCACCTTGACGACATTGTGTGCAACGGACCACGATAAGGTCAATCGAATAACCCCCAGAACTTGTCAATCCAACAAATTTCATTCAGCCTCATCCATTCTTTCAAGTATTTTCCCTAATAACAGAAGATAAAGTTTCTTCCCATAGAGGTAGTCATCTATCTGCATTCTCCAATAACCAGAATCTGTGTCATCAAATTTCTCGATCCCTAAAACCTTCACTTCATCTGCAGCAATCATTTTTCCTCAGATCCGAACAAAGCTCTAATATCAGTTGTTATGAAATATATATCAATTGATGTGGTATATATATATATATATATATAAATCAAACAGGATAATGATCGACGAAGCAAAAAATAGAAAGAGAAAAAATCACACCAAAAAAGAACACACAGATTTACGTGGTTCGGCAAATTGCTTGCGTCCACAGAGTTGTAGACGATTTTACTACTTGAGGAATTTACATCAGTCGATCATCTCAACTTACAAGAGGAATCTCTCACTTCGGTCATCTTTCTTCTTCTCTCTCTGTTATCTCTCTACACCGAGATACACCGAAGAAACTCTACGCCGAGATACACCGAAGAAGATAAACTTACAAGAGAAATAAAACAAATTTCTCTTCTGCTACAAGCCACCAAGAAGAAGCCAATGGAGAACAATCTTCTTCGTCTTCTTTCTTCTTCTTTCACCGTAAGGAACTATTGTTTGCACTTTCCTTCTATCCTGAGGAAGCCCGAAGAAGAACACCAACCGTGACTTAGAAACTCTCTTCGCTTCTATTCGCAACTTAAAGGAGACAAGAGGCAGCGTCGTTTCGTGAAACAGGGAAGGCGGGAAAGGTTCATGGGCAGCGACTCTTGCGATCGGGAGAGAGGGTGCGAAACCAGTAAATTTGCTACCAAACACCCCCTAAGGCTGTTATCAACCAGCCCATAAAATTTTTTTTTACATAAAAATTTCCAAGAAGAAACAAATGAAAATGAAACTACTAGTGCATACTTACAATAGTCTTTGACAATGAATTTGACAACTTGTATTCAAGTGACTTAACGTCCCAATCAATTTTAAATTCCTTGCCAATATCTTTCATTAACCGCAATTTCTCGTTCTGCAGAAAAGACTTCTTCTGCAGCTTCTCAACAAACTGTAGAAAAAAATAAGATTTGAAGCTGTTCTAGGGCGACAAGCAAAATCCATCAAAAATTATACTTTGTACCTCTCTATTCGTATATAACTCCATGGTAGTTCTATATCGCTCTATAAACCCGTGCCTGAGGTTACCTAATTCAGGCAAGTCTGAGAATCTAGCAGCAGCAAAAATCAGAGTTGCCACAGCCTCCATAGTTTCCTTAGGACACTCACTGCAACAAGAAATATAAAGATACACTGAAAAACTTTACAAGTCATCAAATACTGAAAAAAAAAGGACAATGGAAAAAGCGGCAGTGGTTCCTATGCGTTAGAGTGGAGAAATGGAAAGCAAGGGCCGTGTGAATTGCCTTGAGCAAACAATAAACAGAAATGAATCCCTTCGTATATTTCCAGTAAAAAGAATTCACTTTTAACCAGACTTCAACAATATAGAAATGACGAAATTCAGAAACCAAAATATACCAGTAAAACTTTTTTTAACTTCAACAAATAGTTCAAGTCCCTCGAGCGACTTTTATGAATCATTTGGAACAGCTACTTTAAAACATATTCCATGCATTTTAAGACTAACATAGTACAGAATTTATGAGATTTATTTCATGACCGAATTGGTAAAATAATAAGGAAGTTTAGGAACTGAATTAAAATTTAGGTGAATCAATCTTGTAAAATGATAAAAAGTTAGAAGTGGAATCAAGAAAAACAAAGAACCATGAACATGAACAATAAAATGCCAAATGGAATTAGAAAAGATTAGAATGTGCATTCTAATGTTCATCATGACTCAAATAAGCAAATCATATTAAATAGAAAGTTAGATACTGAATATTGATAGCTGCATGGCATAATTTCTTAAGAACATTTTGAAGTATCATTTTTTTTGTTGGTGTCCAAAAATTGCAACAACGTTATTGTCATGCCCTTTGAGAGATTGCTTTGTCCTTCACCTCATTTGTGCGTAAATAAATAAGCTAGTGCCCTGTTCATGCTATCTTCATTCAATTCATAAAATTAAATTGGGTTATTCATTGGATAAATAGATTGTAAGTGATTTAACTAATGCTATACTGAATTAAGTATGTTGATTTTGCTAACAACACACTCCAGTTAGCATTGAGCTACCCAATGACATATTGTTCGCTTTGATATTGCTGAAAGATGTTGTCAATCTCCGACACCCGGCACTAAGGAATTTGCACTTTTAGTGTGTGTAGCCACTAACATTGTATCTCAATGTCATCATTTTAGTATAATTTGTTGTGGTGTTATGAAATTTAGGGCGAAACAATCACAGGAATCGACACAAATCCAGAAGAAGAACGCAGAGATTTAACGGCTTCAGCGATTGATAATTTATTTATGTTTTTTATATGTTTATATATATGAGTAACTCTTGGGTATGTAACTTAACTCCCCTCTGAATAGTGAAATTCGCCGCTCGCTCCCGAGGATGTAGGCATCTTTGCCAAACCTCGTTAAATCTCTGCGTTCTTCTACTGAATTTGTGTAGATTCCTGTGATTGTTTCGCCCTAAATTTCATAACATAATTACCTTATCAAAAAATTATACTGGCATCGCATCAATTTTTCAAGGGTGAATAACTACCTCATAGAATATTCACAGCTAGCTAGTGGATCCTTATATCTGGGCAAGGTCTTGTAATTTTTTTGCTTTTAAAAACTTTGAAGCAAAAAATCCCTCTATAACACAGGTTCGTTGTCAAAGTTAAAACAAGTATAAAATTCTCTCTCGAGTTTAATAAGAAACTCTTTTAGCATACAATATCTATTATTAACAATGTAAAACAGTCACTCCATCAATTTACATTGCTATTTTTTTATTTTTTATTCTATAAATTTATCACTGCAGCATATGTGCAGTCCATTGACAATTGTGACAACCAACTTTTTTCTTTTGTTTCATGTCATTCTTTCTATTGATCTTACATTCAAAAACATCATACTTCAGTGTGCTGCTTTAGTCTCTTCACTGTACAAAATGAATGATATCTCAAATGAAGTTGTTGCCTTAATCTATTTACTATACATTATGAATCTTACATCCTATGAATGTGTTCAGGTGGAGCCCGGTTCAGAAAAAACGAAAAAAAAAAAAAAAATATATATCACCTCTCTCTCTCTCCCACTTCTGCCTCTTTAGTTTTGAGTTGTTTCCTCCCGTCTTGCTCGAAACAGAAGCCCTCCCCCGTCTCTCGCAAAAACAGAAGGTTACTCTTGCCATTCGCAAAGCAGTCCGCGCCTCCTTCAGTTTGCGGAAACAAGAAAGGAGACTCCATGCTTGGATTCTTCTTAAGGCTTACGGAAAGCAGAAGGCAGAAAAATGTGTTTTTGCAAGGTGCTCTTTCTTAGTTGCTTTTGCGTGTTTGGCAGCAGGAAGAAGAAGACAGTGGAAGAAGAAGGTGCTCTTCTTGATTTCTTAATGTTGGCTTGCGACAGAAGAGAAATAAGTTTTTTTCTCTTGTATGTATTTCTTCTTCTTTGGTGTTCTTGCTCTTGGGTGAATCTCGGTGTAAAGAGAGAGAGAGCAAGTGAGAGATCCCATAATTGTTGACGTGATCAAACGGTGTAAATTCTTCAATTAGTAAAATCTTCTGCAACATCATGGATGTAGGCAATTTGACGAACCACGTAAATCTGTGTGTTCTTTTGTGTTGTGAATTTTCTAGCTCCATTTCCTTGTTGTGTCAACAATGTGAAGACCCATGGCAGATCTCATGGCCCTCCATCTATCATTGCAGATACTATTTTGGAGTCTCTTATGGTGACCCACAAGTTTCCATTCCAGCCAGCCCGATGGGTTGTCTTCGAGCTATTTTTAGCATCCGCCAACACCTTTGGATGGATCAGGATCAACGTGGATGGAGCTCTTACTTCTTACGGTATAATTGGGACCGATTGTGTTATTCAAGACGAGATTGGGAATGGATTGATGGCTATGGGTAGAAAGTTTGAGCATTGGGATAGCTCCCAAGTGGAGTGGAAAGCTATTCTTTCGGTAATCTATCTTGGAGGCCTGGATGTTGGAGTGCAATGGAGTCATTATTGAGAGTGATAACAACAATATCATTCAATACCTCCAATCCACCATGGAGCATAAGCATTTGGCGTGGCCAACCGCTATGGATGTGGCGCTTCTCACTTGCTTTAGACAAGTTTTATTTCATTATAATAGAACAACTCATTTTTGTGCTAAGTTGGCTCTACAGGATAATTTTGTTTTGAAGCATGTAGATGGTTGTATAGATCTTTTTTCTATTCTTTTAGATGATTTGTCTCATATGTAAGGGTAGTTTAGCTCATTTTGGTAACCACTATTGATTTTAATGCAATATGCAATGTTCAAGAAAATGTGTATTTCCCTTTTAAAAGGTTAACATGATAATATCTTTTTATATGATATGAAAAATTTGGGCGGTATGCATGTAAATCCTGCTACATTCTTTTTCCATTCCCAACTACTACTATATTGCTCAACATATCCCATTCACCCAAACCATAAGCTCATTTGAAACTAGTCTCCATCCAATGGATTTGTGCATGGTAAAGTTCAAAAAAGGAGAACTAATGGCATGAACCTTGATGTAGTTCCATGACTTTTGTAGCTTAAAATCAACAACAAATATTTATAGCTACTTGAAAATCACCTTCATTTTGAGTGCGAGCACCATACTGAAGAACAATTCCTCCTTTCAAAACTGATTTGATTATTGAAGGGTGATGCTTGAATTTCTCGAGGAAGATGTAAGTTGCAAACAAAGGTTTTATTTAATTTAAATTTGTTTCATTTTATATAAACTCATATTTACACATTTGAATGCCGGGAGATCCCGTTAAGCAATGATAAAAATAATGGATTTCGAGATAGTCGATCTAAATTTTTGAAAAAAAATATATTGATTGTTTAAATAGGATTACGAATAAGGGTCTGTTTGGGGAATCTCGTGCCTTTCAGGATAAACAACTTATCTTGAAACGCGGCTCGCGGGTCGACACACGGCCTGCGTTTAGTGTAAAAAACCCCAAACGCGGCAGACAGCGTTTTAAAAAACGAGTAAACCAAACGGTTATACGGCGTTTTCAAAAACTCTGCCGCACTTATAATGGGCCCTAAATGAAAAGGTGCTAATATAGATTCTAGCACATGTAAACAATCAAATAGATGCTTATATATATTTCAAATACCATTATATAATTTACAACATGATTACACTACAATAAGCAAAAATATTAGACACATCTATAATTAAATATCTTAATGAAGTTTGAACTTTAGAAAAGAGAATAAAAATTGGCTAAAAGCATGAGATTGCACACCAGAGGGCATAAGCGGTCAGTACTGCAGTTTATTTGATCAATAGGGGGTCATCTCTTCCATTAAACTATGAATTACCTGAAGAAGTCTAGAGTGGGAAAGAGGTAAAATTTTCTCACCTTACGACTTTTGGTTGTCGTTCTTATATTCTCATTAATCCTGATGCTCATAATAAGCTTGAGGCTAAGCTAAGAAAGTGTTATTTCATTGGCTATGGAGATGAGGCATTTGGATATCGTTTCTGGGATGATGATTTACCAGAGGTCACAGTGTAGGACAGAGATGCAGGTGACTAGGAGAGTGAATCCAATGCATCCACTCCTATTGTTCCACACTCAATTTCAGAGCAGTCTACCCCTACAGTGGCAATTCGCAGGTCAGAAAAGGCTAGACGTTCTCCACAGCGCTATTCTCCAACTTTGAACTACATTCTGTTGACAAATGGTGGAGAACCTTAGAGTTAAGAAAAAACCTTGCAAGGTAAAAATTCGAGCAAGTGGGAGCTTGCCATGAAGGAGGAGATGAATTCTCTGCTAGAAAATCAGACATAGGAGTTGGCAGAACTTCCATCTGGGAAGAAGGCATTACAAAACAGGTGGGTGTACCGGGTGAAGACTGAGCACGATGACAATAAGAGGTACAAGGCTAGGCTTATTGTAAAAGGTTTTCAGTAGAATCATGGTATTGATTATTCCGAGATTTTCTCTCCCGTGGTGAAGCTTACAACCATCAGAATAGTACTGTCTATGGTGGTTACTGAAGATCTCTTCCTTGAGCAGTTAGATATAAAGACCGTCTTTCCTCATGGGGATCTTATAGAAGACATCTACATGCACCAACCTGAAGAGTTCGTGGTACAGGGAAAGGAATAGTCAG